TAGGGCATTGTTATTATCTCATCCCATATATCATAAGAAAAATTTAGAACTGTGTATTAAAATATTATTGGACAACGGTTACCCTATTCATTTAATCTTTAAAGAAATAAATAAGAGAATAAGAGTTTTAAACAATGGTCAGTTTAACAACAATAGAAAAAAAGAAATTGCAGAAGATAATAGCAAGAAAAAATTTTTCGTCATTCCATACATTAATAACATTTCTGAGACAATAGCATCGACAATAAAAAAATCAGATTTCAGAGTAGGATACCGTTGTCTAAATAATCTTAACAAATTAATTAAAGTCCACAAGGACAAAAACGTGCATAACAATAATAATAATGTTGTCTACAAAATTAATTGTAAGGATTGTGAAGCTTCGTATGTTGGGCAAACCAAAAGAAAATTACGCACTAGACTAAAAGAGCATATGAATAATATTAAATTTGATTCCTCCAAGCATTCTGTGGTCTCTGAACATATTATGGATAAAAAACATGCTTTTGATTGGGATAACGTTAAAATACTTGATATTGAATCTAATTATTATAAAAGACTTATCTCGGAAATGATACACATCAAGGAACAAAGGCATGGTATAAATAATAACACAGACACCGAATTGCTTAACAACGCGTATTTCGACATTCTAGAAGAAATATCGAATTTTTAGACTTATGTAAATGTTTATTTTGTGAGATCTGACACCTATTTATTCGACTTTTTAAAAGACTAGACAACAGTCAAGTACTAACAATAAGGCCAACAACAATTAGAAGCATCGTCATCTCAAGTTATTCGGAACAATTTGTAAGCATAAAGGTTCAATATTTTAGTAGTTAGTTTAATTTATAATTTTTAATCTTTTTTTCACATACACATTAGTGGAATCCTATTTTACAATTGAATAAATTCTTTAAATTCAGTTAACAAATATCAAATAATTTGGAGAGGATGAACATAATCATTGCCAGATCGAGGGACTTTCGTCAAATAACGATAAGTGGTTCATTTGGAGTAATGTATAAGTGTCACTCCAAGTTTTTATTAATAATTCTAATATATTTTATGAATAACCGGACGAATCATTCTGCTTCTAATTGGGTTCTTACTTTGTTGAACTATTTTAATGGTCTCAATTCATTGTAAATATATTTTGCGTTTTAACTATGACTCAACTATATAACTTATATTGACTATGTATTGCGGATTTTTTATTAGAATTTTATGTATTTATTTATTATCGTTATGTATTATCAGTATTTTTTTGCGCACTGAAGAGGAGCAAGTAGAGCTCGAAACGTTTGTATAATTATTATTTCAAATTAAGAATTTTCTTCTCAATAATAAAATAATATCGTATTGCTTGTTACACATGGCCTTAATTTAATAATTTATAATAATTTTTAACAATAATGAAAAATTTGCTAACGTCACTCCAGCCAAATCAAGCATTTCTCTATCAGTTTTTATACTTTTTAGACCATGAAAACCATTTTCACATTTTAATAAACCAGATGTTCCAACACATTTATCTACATATGAAACTTGATTTCCACAACTTTTTTCAGCCATTTTTTTTCTATTGTATATTATTTTTGGCTCTTCTGGACAACATTTTTGTGTTTCTACAGAACACTTTGTACTATCATTATAAATATATCGATTGCATATAAATACATGCATGCTTGATCTTTCAGAGTCTAATTTTTCACACATAATTTGTACTTGACATTCTTGATCAAGTGTCCGAGATCCAAGAATATTATTTTCATTTTCTTCTAAAGAATCTTGCTGAATTAAAAGATTACAATCTTCTTCCTTTTTAAATTCAATATTTTTCTTCTTTTTAATCAAATCTTCTTTATCAAACTCTTTAGATGATCTTTTTAAAAAACGTTGATATCGCCCAAGAGCAACATTGTCTGAAGTATATTTTTTTTATAAATACTTGGGAAAATAGTGGGATTGTAGCTGGGACTACGAGGGTCTTCTGACTTTTTATTTCCAATAAAATGGTCACTGCATATGCGCGACCTATTATGTGGCTTCCAATCTGATCCATTGGGTCTAGGAAATGAAATTATTAAAATAAATAAATAAGCTTTATTTGTGCATATTTTTGAATTTTTAGTCACTAATTAATTATATTTACCTTAATTTTTTATAGCTCTTAACCATATTTCACGTCTTTGTACTTTATGTGGATAATGTACATTAGATGTTGGAAAACAATAAAATGATTTATCTGGAGTATCACAAGAATTATTTTTGCAATTTAATACACAACAATATAATTTTGCTTTTTTTTTCATTGTTTATTTTCCATTTTTCTAATTTATTAAAAGATTAGTGTGTTTTAACAGCTTATTCAGGCTAACTTTCCAAAATAGCCACTATGAACGCTTAAATCGTTTCGCGAATCCCCTCTACATTCATGCACAAAGCGAATTACAGACTTATGTTATTACTATTATTAACACTACTATATTACAAAATTTTACACAAAAAAATATCTCCTAATATGCGTATAAAATATTTGTACAAAATGCGGAAGAAAATACAGGAGAAAAAGAATATTATATTTTTATAATAAATATCTATACGGGTATGAATATCTGTTATTGATAAATCTACGTTTCACTAATACCGGTGCGCATATTTTTGTTTCGTCCCGCGTTACAATTTCATGAAACGCAGTACGACGAATGGCGTTGAAACGCAGATTTATCGTTGTCTCATCTTCTTCTTCGTTATCCTCGTTTTCTCGTGTTTTTTCTCTCGCTAATATCAATTTTTTAATGCTATTAAAATTAACACGCCGTGAGTTCTCGTAATTGAGAGTTATACCTTTAACTTTGCAAGTTTTGTTTATAACTCCGTCGGGTGTTCGCACAATGTAGGCGTAAAATTTCGGACCGCCGGACACGAATTCCTCGATGTAACTACCGCACCCGTAGCTCTCGAGTTCATCGGTCATGTTGCCTAGAAAATTACCGGTACAAGGTTCATATTCATCCGGTTCGCCAGTGCTCACATAAATGCAAGAATCGGTATCGTAATATAATACACGACGGTCTAAGCGCTCTAGATAATCATATAATTTTAGCCGCGTTTGTGCAGTCGTGTATGCGGCTATCACGACATTAGTTATCGGTGGGGGTACGACGACCTCGTGTCTCAACCGCCACGAAACATACATTGCCTCGTCGTTTATTGGCAATATATCGGTTATCTCGTGCTCGGGACTTGTTAATAATAACATAAAACGCCGATGTGATTTAACAATTTCAGTATTTGGCAAATTGGATTGTTGGCCAAATTTTCCCCAAAACGAATTTAAGCAAAGCTTAGCAACCGAGCGTAAACCGGGATTTTGCGAAATGTTACGCTTATCGAGAACAATACCTTCGGTTTTCTCGTACTAGCGCAGGTATTGCTCTTTAGCATCATCGTCTGCGCATTCACTCGGCCATTCGCTTGCCTCCTGTTTAAGTTGTAAAAATGAGTTTATATATTTGGCGAACAATCCACCCTGCCGTGTTTCGCGATTATATTGACTAATTTTATATTGCCAAATTTCATTTACTTTAGTCACAAGATAACCTTTTTTGACGGCCTTGCGTAATTCGCAGCTCACCCACGTACCATCGAATTCGCGTTCGTTAGGCTCGTGCGTACACTCCGTTTGCGAAAATGTTTCACAACAACTACGACACAGTGCGAATAATAATTTTCCGTGCGCGCGATATAGGAGTACCGGATGAAATAAATCGCGCAGAGGAAGTATCGTACAGCGTACGAGACCTTCGACGATGTCAAAATTATAATTCGGAGCCGTACCGATTAAAGTTGAACATTCATCGCCGATATAAATGTTGGGATGACCGATAGGGAAAGCACCCGTCTTCAATACATACGGGTATAACAAACATACGTCTACGTAGCGTATTTTCTCCGCACCTGTGATTTTGCAAAGAGTCGCGATATTTCCCGTGCGTCCACCGAAAAATGCGTCGCGAGAATCGAGCGGTGCTGTTTTCACCATCGGATGACTCTCGAGAAATTCGCGCATCTCACGATTATCCCGCATTTCTCGATCAAAGCTACACTCCCACTTTTCCGTCAGCGTGTACCCCTGCTGCCGAAGTCGCCACGAGATTGCGAGAGTTCGCTCGTATCGCGAGTCAATTGTATCTCTACGTTCCTCAGCCGACGAAAGCGGTCTATTGCGATTTATCGAAAAGCACGACGTACATCCGTGCCAAAAGCAACCGTGGAATTGCAACACGTAACGCGACGTTACTCCCGTTTCCGATGTTTCTTTATAATAACCATCGACAAGTGTGCCGTCGATCGTACGGTATTCATCGCACGCCCTGCGTGGTTTATAGGATGACCGAGCTCGCACTTCTTCCATACCAATCACTGTAGAGCTTTGCGCGAATGTATCCCTTATAGAAAAGTATTACTGAAAGTACTAAAAAGTATTCAGTAATAAATTATTGCGAATACTGGCAGTATTATTTTGGCGGAGTATTGCCAGTACTTGAGAAGTGTAGAGTAATATCGAATTACTGGCCAATATTTCATTAATACTCTATATTTCTAAAGTACTGGCAGTGCTCCCCAGAAATAATACTGCTAGTATTTATAGTAATTTATTAATATTATTTAATACATAAAACACATTGTTTCAATTTATTACTATATTTTATTATATAATATATAAATGAATTACATATTTGAAAGCAAAATGTTACATTTCGAAACCGTACAAGTATAATTAATCCAAATCCAAGACAATTAAAATTGATATAAAGAATGTAAAATTGAAAGTAAAATGTTATATTTTAGAACGTTACAAAAATATATCCAAATAAGACAATTAAAAATAGAAAAAATAAAATTGAAAGTTAAATATTACATTTCAGAACGTTATAAGTATAAATAATCCAAATCTCGTTTATTAAGACAATTAAAATTAGAAAATATAAAATTAAAGAAAATATAAGAATATATTGATATATTTTTTACTATTTGTAGGTCACGCTCTTATGCAGAATCTTCCATTTTTTTATCTTGCTGTTATTGAATAACTGCAGGTCCCATTGATATTTGTTTATTTTTGTTACGCCATATATTTGATTTATTATTTAATTTACTTTTCATTGCTTTAAAAATTTCTGCTATTGCAGCCTTGTTTAATGGCCCTTCTGTAGGACAATCAAATTCCTTTAGAATGTATTCTGTGGAAATTAAAAATAATTTTTACTAAACAAAAAGTGCTTTTTGAGAATAAGAGAATATTAAAATTTTTACTTGTAACAATTAGTATATAGCAATATCTTACCCATCACTGCGTTTTTCACAGGAGGATTCAGCTCTGGCTTGGCCTTCACATCTTCTGCATGGAGTTTAGTTTTTCCTCGAGAGAAATTGCTCATTATTCCAGTCATACTATAATTGGCCATTTCCTCATCTGTGAAAACTAGATCCATCACAGAAGCTGTGAATAAAGATAGTTTACTGCGACTGAGTCTTTTTCATTGTTCGGTCTGTACTTGTCTTCCCGCAAAATCTGTGAGATCTTCCTATAAAATAGAAATAAAGAAAATATATTAAAAAGATATATATATTTTACTAAATGTATATACATATTTAAAGACATAAAATAGACGTAAAATAACATTTTATCTATATCTAATGTCTTTGATATATATGTACATATTTAAAAAGATCTATTCAAATTTCATGATAAAATTATCATGTGTCACGAAATAAATATTGCTACTTACTATAGTAATTGATGGTTTAGCCTGAAACTTCTCTGGTTGCTCTATATGAGCAATACTTAATAATATCTGCTGCTGTGAATTCTGGAAAATAAAGTACAATAATTGGTCAAGCTTTTTATAATCATTTATCTAAGACCATGGAATTTGTCTAAAATCATGGAAAATATCTCAATAATCTCAGTTATGTTGATATATTGTTTACTCTTCAAGTTCTTCAAAAAAATCCTATGTGGTATATCAAGCTTTTTTCTGTTTCTGAGTTTGCAGTCAAGTTATATTACCACAAAGATATAGTAGTAGGAATATAGGTATATGTATAATAAGACAATAACAACTAACATACAAGAAAAATGAAGACTATTTCGGTATATTTTGTGCTTAATAAAATAAAAGTATCCAATATGGTGTTAATAATAGAATCTATCAATAATGATAAAAAACTTTATTACTATATAGCAAGCATTAGGAAAATTTTACTCGATTGTGTTTATCGGTCCAATATTAAAGAATGTAACAAAAATAAAATTTATCGGTTCATTATTGCCTTATATTGTATTAAATTTATTTAGCATTCTCAGTGGCAAAAACAAAATCCTGGTAACTCAAGGAAAATTTTACTCGATTGTGTTTATCGGTCCAATATTAAAGAATGTAACAAAAAATAAAATTTATCGGTTCATTATTGCCTTATATTGTATTAAATTTATTTAGCATTCTCAGTGGCAAAAACAAAATCCTGGTAACTCATTCCTTATTTAAATTATTCTAGCTTTACTGTAAACTTTTTAAAATGAAAATTAGTGTGTTTCTTTCATTATTCCTTAAAAAGTTTTAAATATATTAAATTATTAACACTTTATAAAGATTTTGTTGTACTTACTAGCCAGATTATAATCTTGCTAAAGTTTAATCATCTATGTCAGGAATTACATAATAAATTTATATTTAATATTACTTTATATTTTAACATACACATATACATACATGCACATATGTACATAAATACAAAAGAAAAAGCAAATAAAGTTTATCATTGTATGAAAAGATTTACGTTACCTCACTTTGTGTTTCAACAATCTCCGAAGTACTTCCAGCATTGTGACTAATATTATTTTCCTTCTGTTCATCTTTATTTAAATAACTTAGTTTAATATTATTATTATTATTATTAATGTTATCACTATTCTTGTTTTTGTTACTGCTTTGATCAGCTTTAATACGTAGAGAATCAATGTTCCTGCGTAATTTATCCATGTCTTTAAATAAAGTAGATGACATGGCAGTCATTTTATGTAAATCTAGAATCAGATACCAAAAGAATGGAAAGTAAGATCAACAGCTACAGCAGATATTTACATCTCACTAGGCACATCTTACCTTCGTTAATAGCTCTTAATGCTCGTAATCTGGCATTATCTTCCCTTAGCTTTTTGTTTTCTATTTGTAAAGTATTTATTAAATCGATTAGTTTGGTTTTACTCCATTTAAACATAGAACCGTCTTCGTCATTCTCCTTCTCCTCTTCATTATTTATTAAATCAATCTGGAAATAAATACAAATCCTAAAGTAAGAGACATATGAAATTTATTTCACTTTTCTTGAAAAAAAGCAAGAATAAAGTAAGAATGCATATATGATTTTAATGCACATCTAATTTTAAATATTAAAAGCTTTGCATAGGCAAAAGATAAAATATTTTTTTTTCAAACATACAAGACAATATTAAATTTACCCGAGATGATTTTTTTATAAAATCTCTTGATAAGTTTTCTATTGGCGACTGTAAACTATGACTTTTTCCAATACTTGATGTTTCAGTCTTCTTCCGCTTTTTTAATGATTTATTAGGCTCCTGTTAAAAAATTAAACAGAGAATAAATTTCATGTTAAACTTACAAATTAACAAATCTTATACTTAAATCAAATAAAAAAGAAAGCAGCATTACCTTTACGATAACACAACAAGCTGTACAGTTTCAAACATAAATAATTAAAAAAGAGATTATAATTATTATTAGACATACTAATTGCAGATACTGACACTGTCGTCTTCTGATGAGTTAAAATCAAGCGTGTGGCTTTGATTAGATGAGCCTGATGGCTTATGGCAAAGTTTCCGTCTCTCTTCTCGAGAAGGATTAGGCACGCCAAAAAGTTCAATATTTTTGACGTGTTGGCACATATCAGTAAATACTAAAAATTTTGAAATTTATTTTATGCTTAAATATATATTTATAAAATTTAGGGGAGAGTTGTCGGCGGTTTTGTCAAACAAAAACTTAAAGCAAAGTTGAGAACGTTATTTATTATTATTTATTACGTATTAGTCTGAAGTCCGCGTTTGCATTAACGTAGCTTAAACTCAGTTAACTTACTTTAATATCATATACTTTTTACAATAAAATTTATGATAGTATGATTTTGAAGACGATAAATTTTAGAAAAACGTGTATTATCTAACATTTGAAATAATTGCATATATACACACATATATACATACGGGAGTACACACATCCCGTTTGACTACGTTGCGATTGATCACAGCCACCGATCACAGCGTGGTTAAAAGATCTCCCTCCCCTTCCCCACTTACACATATACATGTACACACAATGACATGAAAAATATTCTATAATATATAAACCTTGTTTTATGTAATAAACTTTTAATCAATAAATCTTCTTTTATGAAAATCTTAAAATTCAGTACAAATTTCATAAATTATATATAATCATACATTAATTATATATAATTATCAACGACAAAAATTTTTGAAGAATTAACAATTAATTGTATTTCATATTTCAAGATGTTTGCACAAGACAAGATAACCTGTTAAATTCTTGTGTATATATGTATTACTCATTTCTCATTTATTTCATATTTTTGTCATTAAATGTAATGTCATATTAAGTAAAATTATAAAATATTGACGAGATATACTATTTAGGCAATTGGTATACATTTAGCAACTCTCTTCTATGCTTAGAACATATAAACTGGAAGAGCATAACCTATCTGGTGTACGTAGCAAAAGTCCTCAACACCTATTTATTATTGTTAGTACGAAATAAATGCATTTACACAAGAGGATAATATACTCATATATTTACATATATTCTAGCTCATCACACATGCACACATGCGCTATGCCCCTTCCAGTATATACATGTTCTAAGCTTCTATGTTAAATTATGTTAAAATCATTACTTACTTCCCAAAGATCGCACTCTTACAACCAAGTCCTCCCAAGTAATATTTTTCTTCTTAATCATTTTTTCCATCATTTTGGCACATTTTATGTCCTCTGCTACGGGCCATCGAATAATCACCTCCGAGTTTAGGAGGTGACTCAAATCTGATTCTGTATTTTCCTTTTTTAACCACGCTTGAAAGCCCACTTGAACAGGTTTATGTCTCTCATTAATAAACTGCACGACGAGACACTTCTCATCTGACAATTTTGTTTCCACAGCACTTTTTATATTAGACATGATTACTGCACTTATTCACTCTTCAAATTTCCACGATGCGTATATATCAACCGGTAAAAATACCACAATTGATGCAGATATTGTAAAACAGCGTGGCTTGACAATAGAAATATCGCAATATCGCGATACCAGTATAACGCATCACACGCGGTCACGCAGATGATAATCCTGTGGCGGCAATTGTTTTTTCACTTACAAGAAAATTCATGTCCGCGCATGGATACTGAAGAAAGCGTGGCGCGCTATGCAGTACCGTATACGTAAAATAAACGGCACACTCGGGCCCTATGGGCCAATGCTCTGACGCCACTTGTTAGCATTAGCAAGCTATACGAGCCTGAACGAGTCAATTTCAACGTAATTCAAAATTATTAATTAATAGTTGCTTTTATATTAAAAGAAATGTCACGCCGAGGTCCATACAAACAATACCTTCAAGATTTAAATATTCCTATCCCCGACACAACTCTTCGTCGTCGACAAGTTATTCAACGTAATGAGGTTAATAAACATTATAAATTTTCTTAAGTTAAAATTGACTACTAAATTCTTTATCAATGCGTTGATGAATGATTGATGTTGGTTATTATTTGATATTTTTATTTCTTTTTATTTTATTATAATTGGTTTTATATCATTTAGAAACTGGTCGCCTAAAATATATAATGGATAGATTTTCTCAATCATATCATTTTTAAAAATATTGAATTCATCAGTTAAAGTAATTGAAAACATAAGGAATCAATAGTTATTTTATTAAAATTTATCGAGAAAAAGAATAAAATATTTTAACGATATATTAATAAGTCATAAATATTAATGAAAAAATAAGGACGTCGAAATAAAACTAGCTTAAATTTACTTTTACAATTTTGAAATATTAACAATTTAAAATAAAATATTTCTATTTATCAATTATTTATATCAATTATATATTAGTTTTATACTATTATCATTTATGAGTCTTATATTAATATCATTTATTATAATAAAATAGGTGATTTTGTAGGATTAGGATATAAAATAGGTATCAGCATTGATTAAATTTGTATAACTACAAATTAATGTAATACAGAATAAACGAAAAACATTCTTCAATAAACTTTTTTTAATTTAACAATTTAAAATAAAATTGTATAATGATGTTATATTATCAGTTGTAGAAATTGAAAAGAAATTTTAAATAATTATATTTAAAAAAACTTATTTTCAGCATGCACTATCGGATAACATTGATGAACTTATGGACTGGGATCCTAGTGAAAGATATTTTGACAGTAGGGAGAATTCAGAATGCTCTTTTAACAATGAAGATGAATTCGAACAGCAGAGCCTTGAACAAAGTGAAGAAAGATTGTATTTCACAATGCAAGAAAGTGATGATGACAGTAAGGAAGGAATAAGCCTACATAATAGTGATTACATTGACACTGATTCAGAAGATAGTAGCATTTCTGATAATGATGGCACTGTCTTCGAAGACTTTGTAGATGATGAAGACATATTTCAAACAGAAAATTTTGAACATATCAATTCAGATAGGAAACCCTTATATGAGGGTTGTGACATTACAAGAGAGGAAAGTGAATTATTAATTATGACCTATGCTATGCGTTTTGGACTGTCTGATATTGCCCTTCAATCTCTTATAAATCTCATAGATTGTCATCTTCCAAGACAGGAACATAAATCATTACATTTACTCATTCAAAAATTTCCTAAGCCACCTAATATAATAACACATTTCTTTTGCTCTGGTTGCAAGAGTTTAGTTAATTTCTTGGAAACAAATAAAGTAATTTGCAGTTGTGGACTGATATGTGTAATGGATGATTTAAAGTCGCAGCAATGCTTTTTTATTCAAATTCCATTACAAGATCAATTGATTCGGCTACTTCAAAATGATCGTATACATTCCATGTTTCAAGAAGGATTTATAAGTGGTCAAAGCGATGTTCACAGTGGCGAAGTATATAAAAGATTAATACAAGATGGTATTATTTCAGAAAAAGATCTCACATTACAGTGGAATACTGATGGAGTACAAATTTTTAAATCATCTAAAGTAAGTTTATGGCCTATCCAGGTAGCTGTAAATAATTTGCCTTTTCAAGCTCGTAAAGAAAATGTTTTACTCTGCGGATTATGGTATGGATCTAAACCTGACATGAATATATTCTTGAAACCATTTGTTGAGGAACTAAGTATGCTACATAATGAAGGATTAGAGTATGTCGTTCCAGGCTCTGAAGACAAAGCTAAAGTAAAAGTTCACACTCTCATAGCCTCAGTTGATTCTCAAGCAAGACCATTGCTTCAGAAATTAAAAACATTTCGAGGTAAACAAGGCTGTTCTTTTTGTCTGAATGAAGGAGAGGAGTGTGAAGTTGGTCGTGGAAGAGCAAGGATTTATCGTGGTGATATAGGACAATTACGAACTCACGAACAACAAGTGCAAGATACCAAAACTGTCATGCAAACTGGAAAGGTTAAAAATGGAATAAAGGATGCATCTGTCCTTCTTCTGCTTCCCTTATTTAATATAATAACATTTTTTGTGCCTGATTACATGCATTGTATTTTACTTGGTGTTGTAAAAACTATGGTGGAGTGGTGGAAAAATGGAGAAAATAAGAAGGAACCTTTCTATATCAGATCAGACATTAAGCTAAAACAAATTGATGCCATCCTTTGTTCTATTAAGCCACCAAGTGAAATTACTAGAACTCCTCGGTCCATTACAGAATGTAAACTATGGAAAGCTTCTGAATGAAAAAACTTTTTATTATATTACTCTTTGCCGTGTTTACATAAAGTAGAAATGCCAAGAAAATATATCGAGCATTGGTTTCTTCTTGTATGTAGTGTACATATTTTTCTACGTGAAAAAATTTCATTAGAGGATTTCTCTATTGCAGAAAGGTGTATACGACAGTTTGTTTTAAATATAGAAGACGTATACAATGCACCTCAACTTATGAAATTTAATATTCATTTACTTCTCCACATTCCTAAAAGTGTAAAACAGTTTGGAGCTCTGTGGGCTGTATCTTGTTTTCCATATGAACATTATAATGGTACATTAGCCAAGATGTTTCGGAGTTCTCAAGCAGTACCCCTGCAAATTTGTAAATTTTATTTAAGACTTCAATCTCTTAAAGAAAAGGGTGCAGAACTTTTCTTGTCAAATAATAATGCATTATTTGCCAAACCTTTGTACGAAGCATTGACTTTTCGAAAGCTTACATCTAATAACTGCGTAGCATATGGTGAGCATATACGATTATTTGGTAAGCCTGATTATATTACGCTAACATTAACTCAAAAAGTTGCTGTGGAAAACTTTTTAAAGGAAAACATACAAAATCAGCAAATTTACTTGTTTCGTAGATTTATTTACAAAAATATTCTGTTTCATGTGAAAGGATACGAACGCATGAAAAGACGCATTAATAATATTGTTTATTTACAAAATAAAACAGTAATCTCCATATCACATGTACTTATAGTTAAGACTCTTCAATCTAATCAGATGAAATGCATTTTATTAGGTATGCGTCTTCACTTAATAAATGATATTGTTTGTCAAAATCGCTCAATCAATGTCTCTTCTAACATTTTCTGTAGCATTATGGAAATGACTCCTGAATATATGGCTATTTTTCCCCAAATGATACAGTGCAAATGCGTTGTAACACCATATGATAGCAAATTATGCGTATATCCTCTAATTAATTCTTTAGAAAGAGACTAAGATAGATACACTTCATAAAATTCCTCAACAAATGATTTCAAGTATAAGAGTTAAAAACAAGTTTAATTAAACAAAAGTATAATTTTATTAGAAATATTTATGTTCTGATGTACTCTCTTAATAAAATTTAATATATTTATTCAATCTTAACATTTTTTTAATTATTAATATATCTTGTCATTGTATTATTTTATGTCAAGAGAAATACATTTTATTTATGTTTTCAGAAAAATTTGACCATTCTTTTTTTCAACCTTAATTTCATCATAATTGCAACAGCTGATTAGATTCAATCATTTATTTCATGTTATAATATTAGGTTTATATTTTTATATATTAGGTTTGTACAATTATTATCTCAAAATTGTATTAAATTATTGTAGAAATAGGTTGTGATATTTAAAAACTTAAGAACAGTAAAAAAGACATAAGTTCAGTATTTCAGTATTTACCCCAGTAGTTGAATCCCCTTTTTACAAGTACTTAAGTACTACACCAAGTAATGAATTACTAGAGAAAATACTTATTTATCCTATTAGTACTTTATGTCTGAGCTGAACTACTGTATCCCTCAGTACTTCGGTATTTTACCATTACATATGCAAGTATTGAAGTACTTGCACCAGTACTTCAGATTCCAGAATAAATTACTAAAATTACTAGCTATTACTCATAGGTCAGTAGTTGAACTATTAGAGTACAAGAATGAAATACTAATCACCAGTAATAAATTACAATACTTCAGTAATAAATTACTGACCAACCAGTAATACTTTTCTATAAGGGATGTTCGCTTTTCTGTATCCGCCCGCTGGAATAACGCCTACCGTATTCGGCTGTAAGAAGTTTTTCCGAAAAACTGTCATACACGTTGAAGCAATAGTTGTACATTCCTCGAACGGACATACATTTCCGCGAGCTATAAAAATTTTTCTAAACGCCATGCACGCTCGTCAAAGTATATCAACATCGGTACGGCAATATTGTACTATCTCGCGTTGAAAATCAAACACAATGTTTTTTAACCGCATGTCAATAGGTATACTAGGGGAGTTCTAACTCAGGGGCGATGAGGGGGTGCGGGGCGGGAAGGAATCGGGGGCGAAGGGGGTGACGTCACGCGGGGGAGGGGGTCTTATCAGCAGATAAGCTTATCTTATCAGCTCAGGTTACCTGATAAGAGGATCATGTTACCTGATATGTTTATAAACAAGATAAGCGGATATCTGTTACAAGATAAGATAAGCTAAGTTTTCATAAACAAGATAAGCGGCGTCTTTGAGCGATATCTAAGTTTTCATAAACAAGATAAGATTAGCTTTAGCGATATCTAAGTTTTCATAAACAAGATAAGATAAGCTTGTGCGATATCTAAGTTTTCGTAGAAAATCCAAGATAAGATAAGCGGCGTTTTTGTAAGGTATCAAAGTTTGCAGATAAGATAAGCGGATATCTGAGTTTTCGTAGAAAATCCAAGATAAGGGGCGTCTTTGTAAGGTATCTAAGTTTGCAGATAAGATAAATTTTACGAAGGGCTGCCGCATGAATCGAGCGCCGACAAATAGATATTTATTACCCCAAGATAAGATAAATTCTACGAAGAGCTGCCGCATGGATCGAGCGCCGACATTCAGATATCTATTACTAAGGGGGTTGCGTTTCTTCATCTAAATTTTCTCCGAAGATAAGATAAAAATTCTGCGAATGGCTGCCGCCGATTCAGGCTTGGATCGAGCGCCGACAATCAAGCGGGTTGATACGTATATTTCTAAGAAATATCAGCGGGGGCGAACGCAGGCTTCACAGGTTGCGACATGGACTCGGATAAAATGGTAACGGGCGGCTTTATC